GAAGAGCTGGAACTTGACCTCAGGTCTCATGATTCCCCCCCCACCAAAGAGGAATGGCACACTACCAAGACGGCCCAGCTCAGCGGTTCCCAACCTGCTCCAGCATGAAGACCCCGTCTTCCCTCTGGAAATGATGGCAGCCCTGCCAATGAAAGAAGCTGTTATTTTGGGCTTCGGTCAACTGGGAAAATTCATAGGGACAAAAAACGATCAGGGCTTCAGCACAGCTGAAAAGGAGCAGCACCGTCATGCACCAGACATTTCTTACACAGTTGGCAGATAGTATTTGGAGTTCAAATAGACATAGAGCTTCTTGGAATAATTCTGTAGCCCACGGGCAGGTAACAACTGGCCGGGCCTATACTACAGAGTGGTTCAGAGAAGGAGCCATCTCTAAAATCTGTCTTCTTGACCAGGGTATGGGCATGAGGGGATATGGGGGACATTTACATTCAATGAAGTTGACAAAAAATGAGAATTGCTTAAACCCGGGAGGTGGATGTTGCAGTGAGCCAAGATCCTGTCATTACACTCCAGCCTAGGTGACAGAGTGAGACTCCATCTCAAAGAAACAAAAACAAAACAAAAACTCAGGTTTGGTTGCCAAATGTCTTTTGTTTTCAGAGTTTTGAGGCATTTGGAGTTGTAGATAAGATATTGTGAACTTAAAAATTAAATAGATGCCACTTTTGGCTGGTTTGCATTCTAAGCTGATTGACATGCATTATCTCATTTAATCCTATGACAACACTATGAGGTTATTATCCTCAATTACTAGTGGAAAGAAACGAGGTTAAGAGATGCTGAGTGACTTGCTCAGAGTCACTCAGCTGGTCAGTGGCAGGGTGGGGATCAGATCCCAAGTCCCTGTAATTCCAAAGCCAGTTCTATCTGCCTGGGGAGAAACCCATCCTGCCAACCGTACAATTTTGTCTAGGTCAGCCACTCTTTTTTTTTTTTTTTTTTGAGATGGAGTCTTGTTCTGTTGCCAGGCTGGAGTGCAGTGGCACAATCTCAGCTCACTACAACCTCTGCCTTCTGGGTTCAACTAATTCTCCTGCCTAGCCTCCTGAGTAGCTAGGACTACAGGTGCATACCACTACTCCCAGCTTTTTTTTCTTTTTGAGACAGAGTCTTGCTCTGTCACCCAGGCTGGAGTGCAGCGGATCGATGTCCGCTCACTGTAACCTCCGCCTCCTGGGTACAAGCAATTCTCCTGCCTCAGTCTCCTGAGTAGCTGGGATTACAGATACCCACCACCAAACCTGGCTAATTTTTGTATTCTTATTTATTTATTTAGACGGAGTCTCACTCTGTCACCAGGCTGGATTGCAGTGGCGTGATCTCCTCTCACTGCAACCTCCACCTCCTGGGTTCAAGTGATTCTCCTGCCTCAGCCCCCTGAGTAGCTGGGATTACAGGCATGCGCCACAATGCCCAGCTAATTTTTGTATTTTTAGTAGAGACAGGGTTTCACCATGTTGGTCAGGCTGGTCTGGAACACCTGACTTCATGATCCACCCTCCTCAGCCTCTCAAAGTGCTGGGATTACAGGTGTGAGTTACTGTACCCGAAAATTTTTGTATCTTTAGTAGAGACGATGTTTCACCATGTTGGC